ATCTAGACACAGCCATGAAGGGGGGGGGGGGATGAATAAGAGGAAGGAACAGCAGTACAAAAATAGCTGCATTTATGGATGTCAGGGGCAGAAAATGACCCTCAAATTACCTCTTTAAGATGGGTTATTTTTAAGCACATTTTTATGGTTGAGTCTGCTTATGCAAATATTGTGAACATGCTACAAACACTTCACTCTCCTTCCAGATTTATTATTATGCAGATGCACAGACAACCCACACTGCTTATCCAGATGGCCTGGAGGTGCTGCAGTTCCCTAATAATCATATAGGTATGTAAGAACTCATAAATGTGAATTATACATGCAGGAAGATTTTTATTCTGAAAGTGTTGACTTATTCTGACTCCACCAGATTGGGTATTTTCTCCCTATTTTGCTTTGTCTTTGCATTTCTCTTCCAGTATGTTCCATCACTTTACTGCTCAGTTTCTTCCTACAAAAGAAAGATAATAATGGCATGCAAATGCTCTTTGAATTTTGATTATATATTCAATTGTTTGACTTCTTTAGCAGTACACTGGATATCATTTCCAATCTCACTGTCAAAAAAAATAATCTGATCTAGCTCTGTGTAAAGAAACATGGAAGAATACCAGGCAGATTTTTTACATTTTCTTTTCCACAGAAAAACATTATCCTGATGGCACAAAAGAAATTGTGTTCCCAGATCGCACAGTGAAATGCCTCTATAGCGATGGATTCAAGGAAACTTTTTTCCCAGATGGTACAGTAGTAAAAGTAGAAAAGTAAGTCCCATGTTAGTGACAGGTACCAGGCACTGGACACAGGTACAAAGATACTGACACTTAAAATTCTGTCTGGATTCCGCATGACTGGGAAATTTCCACATGAAAGAGGAAAGGGTTTGTAAGATAATGAGGGATCTGCTACAGTGAGGCACTGAAAATTGTTCACTTCCACCTTAGATGATAGGGGACTCTGAAATTTTCCTCATTTAATTCCATGTAACTTTACACTGGACAAGGTTGCTGGGAATTCACCAGCTGCCTGTATTAGCTATGTGGGTACTAAAGGACTCAGGATGAGAACTCCTGAGCTCTATTCTTAGCTTTTTGTCCATCTTTCTGATCTTGGGCAAAGCATTTTGTGCATTCTCTCTGTATTCCTCCACGGAAAATGAGGAAAAACAACAATAAGAATTTCTTACACATGCCTCTTCTGGGCTTAGGGAGGATCCTGTTGTAAAACAGATTTCCTGCTTGAGATCCCCTCATAAAGAAGTCATTTAAAAATGTGGATCTCACAATGTATTAGGTATAATTCTATGCACTGAAGTACTTTGTATTGAAATCCTACCGTAATATCAGATCTCATGCCATCGCATGTAAATTCTGAGGTGAATTATAACCTACCTGAGAAAGTTCCCACTTGAAATTATTTTCCACTTTCATTGTGTCACATTAGACAGCTCAGTGAGATAGGTTAATAACAGACAGTGCCTTCTCACCACTTCATTCATTGCTATTTTTTTCAGGAATGGAGATAAAATAGTGGTATTCAGTAATGGCCAAAAGGAGATTCACACTGTGCAGTTCAAGAGGCGGGAGTACCCAGATGGCACTGTGAAAACTGTGTACTGCAATGGCAGACAGGAAACCAAGTACTCCACTGGACGGGTTCAAATTAAAGATGATGAGGGTAATATCATCCTAGATAAGAAATGATTCCTCCCCTCAAAGGGCTGCACTCTACGTAAGTAGCTTAACTTGTTTTCTTGGCAGTTCAGAACTGTTTGTTAGGAAGATTTAAACCTTGTGAAAATAAATGGATGGAACCGTAGGGCTGTAATTCACTTTGTCTCAGTGACTGGTGCTTAGTTCAGAATAAACTTACCCAAATTAAATGTCTCTTGGGTAAGACTTGAAGGAGATGCTGTCATGTCCTCTTTGTGTATGTAATGTTTAAATAAATGCCTGTAGTATTTCTCATCAAAGTGTTTGTTTCGTGATATTGATTACACTTTCCCTTGTTTCTCTGCTAATTAGTTACAAAAGTGACTACAACAAAGAACCCTGGAATAAGAAGCTTTTGAATTTTAGTTTATGTTGCTTTTTCCCTGTTTATGCTCCATTGCTGGCGGGGTTCAAGGCCAGGTGGGACAGAGCCTTGGGTGACGTGGTTTGGTGTGAGGTGTCCGTGCCCATGGCAGTGGGGTTGGAACTAGATGATCTTAAGGCCCTTTCCAACCCAAACTATTCTATGATTCTATGCCAAGTAGAACAAATCTATATATTGGGTTTTTTTCTCAGTTAACCTCACAAAAAATGTAGAAGTGATTAATGTTTTCAGTTGATTTGGATTCTTTGGAGCAGAAAATACCAGCATGTATCAGGTCTTATCATGAGCTGTACATTAGACCAAAACCTGAGCAGGAGTTGAGTAAACAGTCACAGCTCTGGATGTCCCTTCTAACCTAAATTATTCAATAATTATAGGTTCATAATCTGAGAACTCTGTCTCACGCATTTGAAGACAAAATGTAATTCTTATTGCATCCTGGTTGTTATTTTGGATGAAATACCCCTTTCTTCTTCCTCCAGCAGTCTTTCCTCAGACCTCCTTTGTATTGCTTTGTATTTGAATTAACCTCTCCCACTACTGCCTTTATCCTGTCAGTAGTGCAAAAGTATTTCTGGTCAGTGAATCTCTCCATCCTCAGGGCTCTTTGGATGGCACTCGATACCTAGGAGGATTAATCATTTATCAGATGATGCTTTCAACTGCTTTCCCTACAGACTACCTGTCCATCATCTGTCTTGAATTTTTCTGAAGCACTGAAACATTTACCCTGCAGAGCTCAGCTCATTACCTGCCCATTGACTGAGAAGACCAATTATCTCCTTATGCCCTCCGTGAATTCCTATAGCAACAAACACTTTCATAGCATGCTGCTTCAGCCGTTTCTCACACCTAAGTGCAAAATAATTTCAAGATTATGGACTTGCTCTTTCTTCTCTTCAGTTTCCAGTGGGTCAGACTATCAATGAATCACCATTCGAGTTACAGAGCATCTTTGGAAGAAGTAGATTGAATAGAGCAAGAAGAGTTGCTAATATTGATCATACACATGCTTCAGTTTATTAATTTGATCATGATGCCAGGAACATCCATGCAGTTTGATGTCGGCTGATGTGATAATAAAATGCATTGTTTTCCTTTACTCCTGTGTAACAAAGGAACAATTTATAAACCTGTGCTTTTCTCTAGTGAAATATTTACTATAACTTATGTGGTTTGTGAAAGGAAACTCTAATTAAAATAAATCCAGAATATCATTCTTTTCCATGTGTTTCAGTAAGAGTTTCAGTTCAGTGCTGCATTGTGCTGACCAAAACAAATTTATGTTGAATTTTTTCTTAATTAGCCATGATGAAAGAAATGAATGTTATTAATGTTTTCAGTTTGTCTGGGAAGCTAGAAGTGATACTTATGTCTTCTAAAGGAACACTGTTTTTATTTCCAGGAATTCCTTTTAACAAAAGGTTCACCACTTAATATGCTGACATTCTCTTTGTTTCTATAGTAATACAGAAAACAGGCTTTGTTTGCAGCTTTTAGCCTTAAATCACTGTTTGCTGTTCAATAACATGTGTATATTATCCATTCTAATTGTAAATTAAATAAGGAGCAATTTTGTTTGTATGCTGCTTGCTCCTTGCTTTGTTAAACATTCTCAACTGTGCTGCATGGATCAGCATGGTGAATATAAACATCAGCAAGCTGTTTCCACACACCCATTGTTGGATGCATAGTTTTAGAGACTGACTTGTGCATATTCTCTGTGCATTACACCTATGCAGGTGTGGAGGCCAAATTATTCCGGAATCAAATGCTTCCTGCAAGTGCAGTTCTACTTTCTGGCAAATCAACAGCAAACCTTTAGTTGGTGAAATCAAAGGGTGAGACTACTGAAGATTTCACAGTACTTTTGCTAACCTGTGTCTTGCCATTGCTTTTACCAAGGCATGTTTTTCAAGTGATATTTCATAATATAATAGCAAAGGAATTCTCAAAATAAGGGGCAAAAATGTGGCTTGAAAAGGGGGAGACATAAAAAACTTCTACATAAATGACAAGCTCTGTCAAGCATGTTAAAACTGGGAGTCCTTCACAGACCACTTATGACACATGCCACATTATTTTTCATGGGTTGATTCTCACACCCTAGCTTCTCCACCTTCCACTTGCATTAGTTAACCAGAAGCAGTAATGGCTCTACCACTTATAGCTCATAGTTGTAGGAACACAAATAATCCAAATTAAGTGTGACTGCATACATAGTTGAACAGTACGTACACGTACCTACTTTACCATGGTTTTTGTCCTAGAGGGTGTTTTTTATGAATCCTTCAGGGAGATGGAACACAGGTGGGAAATGCCACTTCTTATCTTTCAACAGATTTTCTGGCATGAGTGGAAACATACTATAGCCAGTATTTGGCCACAATTTTGATTCAAATTTAGAATACAATGACTTCTGAACAGTGTTACTTCCTTTCAGACAGCTGGGGGCAGCAAAGATGCACAAGGGCAGGCAGTATTTTGCCCATCATCTAGAATACTTCAGTATACAGTGTAGGTATTCTTGCATGCACAGCTGATCACTAGTTTTAATGTAAGTGAAACAAAGATGCCTAAGCACCATCAGGTGGCATTTCTGAGAATGTTTTGAGAAATGCAATTCTCCAGTTTTATTCTGGGATTACTTTAATATTGCAATAATTCCTTTAAAAAATTAGTACTTTAATTATAAAAAAAAAATCTCATGGTAACTGATAGATTACGGTTTTCAAATTGTGTATTGTTTGACATATCTTTCTAATACAACTTCAGTGCACATCTACCTCCTTCCAGATAAAGTTGTCATGACATGTCTATATAACCTGATGTCATGAAGTTCCACAGAAGTTAAATAGCCTGCCCTTCATGTTCTGCTGTTTAGATGGTCACTAGTTTGTTTATTTCCTTATGAAGTCCTTTATATCTGTCCTTTCCCTGGAAGCTTGAAGTGCAGCTTTGTTAAAAGGAAAAACAAAGACAAAATCTCCTACATGGGGGACAGGCCTCTGTTTTTTATCAGAAGATATAGGGGCATGTGGTAAACCTGTAGTTGCGGAAGTCAGACGTAGGTATCCGACAGCTGAGTTGGGCAGAAATGTGTGCAGAATGCCCAGCTCCTGGGAACTGGTTATTTTTAGTTTCAACTTTTGCTTGGGAGGGTATCTTTGGCCTGTTCACCCTTTCCTGCAGCTGAGAAGTCAGCATTTTCCTGGATGTGCTCTGGCAGTTTTCTCTGTCAGGGTAGCCAGCATTTGAATTGATCCTCTGGCAGCCTGCAGGGCAGGCTGTGCAGAAGAAGCAGCAGTACATTTAGCCACTGTTTTGCAAGCAAGGAAACCAGGAGTCTCCTCGATGGTACTCTCACTAGCTGTGCTCCAGAGTATCCACCTTCTGCCACCCTTTATCCCAGGCTTGCCTCAAAATTGATTTTGCCTCAAAATGTCCGTCTGTTTGTAGTTCAGCAGTACAACAATATCATGAGGAAGTTTTATTTCCACAGTGTCATCAGTGAAACAGTCTAAAACAATTCTGGACTGTAGTTGACTTCTAGAAGCCATGGCTTGAATTTGTCATCGATCAAGATGTCAAAGCCAAAGACCTCAAAGCAATCAGAGCCCACTGGTAAAGGGGTTACAGCAAGCAGAGTGAGAATCGCTGTGTTACTGATCTGCCAGTGGACCATGTCATCAACCCCAAATATTCAAAGGTAAGAATGAAATTCGCTGAAGGTCCGTCTGCAGACATAGCCAATCTCTTCTTTATATGTTTAGGTTTCAGAGTGTTGTTATTTCTCTCAGTTCTGATTTCCTGAAACCCCACAGAGCTGCTGTTCAAGGACTAGACTCCATGTTCAGAACAGAGAGTGCAATGGACAAGAAAAGGGTGTGCTGAAGACCATTCTGATACAGAATCAATATACTAACCTGTATCTCCTCTTTGAAAGCAGCAAGCAAAGGAAATACAAAATGGGCAGGACACATGCTACAAAAAAGACTCCTTCATATCTATTACCAGAGTGACATACTTGTTCTTTCTTTTCACGCTGAGTTTTAGACTCCAGAATGAGTAGCCTCTGCCTTCTAAACTACAGAAACCAAGGGAACATGTCACATCGCAAAGTACTCTATTCAGTGTGTAGCTGAGTTGGCCAGAGAGGCTTTTTCTGTGGAAAAATTATGATTTGTTGAAATGGAAATCTTTTTTCCAGAGAACAAAAGCAATCCTTTACCACCTTTTTTATTTCATTTTAATTTCCTTGTTTTAAAGTTATTACAGTATCTTATTTTCTTTTTTTAAATGACAATGGTTCTGATTCTTTAAATGTTAATTTAGTTTTAAAACTAAAAGGCCAAATGTGGAGTTAATTACCAAAACGTAAATTGACGCGATTCACAAGTTTTGCAAGTCACAAAACCATTTAAGAGTCTCATTATTTTATTTGAATGCGAAAAACAATTCAAAGATTCTTGCAGGATGAAAAAACATATTTCTCTCTCCACCTCTTGACATTGGGTGACTCTCACATGGTGTACCTATGTCTTGGCTCTCCAATGCACGCTGCTGCTGCAAGGGGGAATCACAAAGCATTCACAGAGCTCTTCTACAAGCAGTGCCATGAAGTCTGTGACAAGTGCTTTATAACACAGTGGGCAAACCCAGGAGAGTCTCAATGGGGACTTAGTGGGAGGAGGGCTTTAGAGAAGGGACTAAGGTATTTCAGGGATGCTGGGAGGCACAGCAGTGGCTACTTCACCATAGGCCTCTAGTATGTAGGTCAAAACTAGCACTGGACCACTTTATATCCTTTAGTGAGGGAATATTACCTAAAATTGAAGGGATCTGAAACGAGCTTTGGTCCAGGATGTGAGGAATGGGGCTTCTATTCAAAAGAGACTTTAAGCATCATTAATGGGCTGTGACTGTGGCCAAAATATAAATTTCTATATACAATGAATTTCCATATTCCAAAGTAATATTTAATTCTGTATTCTGATGATAATATGCATATTAATATAATCAGTGACGTTTTACTATCAGACTTGCAGTACCTTTCCATCTCAAGTTTAAGCTAGTGTTGGAAAGGAGCACGTTTGAAACTGCGCTGGGATTATTTCTCTGAATCCCCTTAGAGATCCCTTTGGTCAGTCAGTTCTAGCTGTCCTGGTTGCCTTACCTCCCAGTTTCTTGAGCATCTGCAACCTACTCACTGAGGGGGCAGAGCAGCGAAAAGAGAAAACCTGTAGGCAGTGCAAGCACTGCTGTGTAATAGCCAAAACACTGGTGTACTAGCAACACCGTTTCAGATATAAAAATCCAAAATACATCAACATATGGGCTGCTATGAAGAAAATTAACCCCATCCCAGCCAGACCTAGTACAGGAGTAAAAAGAAGAACTTATCAAGGTATCCCTCTGAGGGAGGGATTATCTTTTTTGCTCTGAGGTTGTATAGCACCTCATGTAGTGAGATCCTGATTTTTCTGTTGGGATGTTACAAACAAACAATAGATGATTATGTTCATACAGATCAATATTTCACTGATGTTCATCTCCGAAATCCTTTTTGCTTCACTTGCTGTTGAACATTGCTGTGCAAAAGAGAATTGGAGGAGGAGTTGGTGTTGCGTTTCACTGCCTGTTATTGAAATGAAATCAAATTTCTGCATCAGATGGAAGCAGGGCAGAGTGAGAATCAGCAGCAGCCTAGCAAATCCATCTGTTATCTCAAGACAGTTGGGAGGCCATCAGGATTCAGCAGAAACAGTAGTTTTACCATTTGTATTTCCAACAGAGAGATTAAGAGCATGCCTTTGAGCTGGTAGGTCAAAGGCTCAAGAGAAAGGTGGATCTATGAGGGATCCACCTACCACCTTCTTTTCTGCAGGATATAATGAACTCTACTTAATGTATGAGACCTGGAAAAGAAGCCTTCCATTTGAAAAGCCATGGATCAACACAGGTGAAGTCTGGAGTGGAGTCCAGATGCTTGGGAACAGCAAATGTTACAGAGGTAGCAAAGTAGCATGAAAGGTTCTCTTATAAAAAAAACATAACAATTTGTTTGGGGTTTTTTTACATAAATTGTATTACTTATTTCTATCATGTTGTCACACCATATGGTGCCTCGTCCTCCTGTTACGGTTAATAACTGAGAAGAAGTAGTTTCAAATGTTAGCTCCATGGAGTGCAAAAACTTAACTAGCTATGTAGTTTGTTTCCAGGAGCAGCAATAATCTTACAGATGAGCAGCATTTGTCTTCAATTGCTTTTGTGCTGCCTGGGTCACACAGAGGATCTGATAATAATGTCATTATCAGTAATGTTCATGATATCTGTACAGTGCTTTCTCATCAAGACGCAGAGACACTGCACAGTAATCGCACTACAGCACTCTTCTCCTTGCAGTAAAACCACACAAATCCAAGACTGGAAATAGTATAGTATGGGTAAAACTCCACAGAAGTTGAAATGAAATGAGGGAAAACCTTACCTGAGGCACTGCTAGATGTGTATAGGTCTCAAGGAGGTATAACAGGATAGGCACATCCTTCTTTTCTCCTCATTCTGTGACTCACACTGTTATCTGCTTCCTTTTCATGACTGAGTTCCCCATGTAACATGCCCTGGCCACTTCTCTTGAAAACAGCTGTCTGTGGATGGGCAAGTGGGGAAAGTTCATCATGACTGAAGTATTTGGTCATGTGAAAGGCATCCCTTTTGAGAGAAAAATGCTCTAAGTAGTGATGCAAAAGTGGAGATAGGAAACCCAAAAGGGAAGGTGTGCTGGGACAGAGGGATGATATAGGCAGAAACACAGTTGTCTGCTGATTTAAGACAAGTTGGTGGATTCAGCGGTTGGTGGGTTTTGTGGTGTTCAGATGTGAGCTGCAAACTACAGCCAGTTTACAACTTGATGTTATTTACAGCATGTGTTAAAGAATGCAGGAAAAGAACCATATGAATATTTATCAGTGGTTCCATGAAATGATGTGTGTTTTCTGCAGTCACCTGCGCAACTCCCACTGCTATCATCTTCTGATTTTGCACGTGGGCTTTTCGGATTTAATTTTAACCCTACGGTACTAGGTCTGATGCACAGATACAAAAATGTGAGGACCTCAGGATTCGTGTTTACATTTATTAGGACTTTATTAATCGAAAAAAACCCAACAAAACAGCGTTTAGTTGGCTATACGTATGAAAGGGTGAAGTCAGACAATCTTCTCTTATAAAGCTGAGATGTCAGAAGAGGTTTTACTCCTAAGACATTTGCATTATACTGGCCTTGAAATCTGTCCCTTTACCATCTTTCTGGAGACAGCACATGTTGGAAAACCTTTGGAGACATGGCTGTAGGAGCCAGCCAGTTTGCTTTGCCTGCATCGCTCTGACCCTGTTGGGTTACACATGTGTATCCTGGGTGAGAGGTCCTACATCTTCCTTCTTTGTAACAGGAGGTGTCGCAGGGGAGCTCTTAGCTTCGAGGTATTCAACCGCTCCATACGTCGCCACAGACAACACAAGCATAGACAATAAGATGTACAGTTTGATGTAGATTTGCAATTTGGTGCTGTAACCGAAGGCGATGACAAATCCTAACGATTCCCAGAGACGGTAATTTGCAAAGGCAGCCTCCTTGTGTTTCTCAAATAAAATGCCATAGAGTCCTAGAATGAAGGAGAGACAAGGCTTGTGGAGATTAAATCTGCAACTACATATTTTCCACAAAGGGAATAAATAGGCGACAATCTCCCTCATAAATGTCAGAGAAAGCAAAACACCAACTTTGTTTTTAAGCATATTTATGCTCCTGTGAATTGCTGTAAGTGAAATAACAGAGCAAAAATGACAAAATAGAGAATATCAGACAAAAAGCAAAAGAAAGGAAGGATAGGCTCTACTGAAGTGAGATGACAGGAAGTTAATTTCTCAAGCTATCAATCAGCCACAAAAAAGGGAGGTTCTTGCACTGGTGAGCAAGTAAGTAAGGAAGAAGAGGGGATGGCCAGAAATGGCCCTTGACATTGCAAATATTCCATGTAACCTATTAAGAAGGTTATACTAAGTTCTTACAGGCTTCCAGGTAGTTTTGTCTAGGGACAACATGGTCCTTAGGGATCAAGTTGCTCTTTCATTGTGGGGTAGAAAGGATCAAAGAACTATGGGGATCTCCTACTGCCATCCTTCACCACTTTTGGGGGGGGCTTGCATGGACCCTGCTTACAGTCTGTACATGTTCCTCAAACCATTTTCTTTCACCTGCCTAAGAATATGCAGAGACTGTGCATGTAAAATGCATGTTACTTGTTTTCACCACAACTTGGCCTCAGAAAGCCTCCAGGTGAGGCTCACACAGTGTTCCTAAAGGTAGTAACATATATGGAGAGATTTGCCTCTGAGGTAAGTAGGTTTTCCAATTTTTCAGGTCCTGGACAATTTGGCAAAAAAGTTATCTTTGATGTATACTGAAACTCTGGCCAGCAGCTGGAAAATGTTCTTGTCATAGAAACTTAGTTAAACTGGTAATCCTAATGCACTTGTCTTCACTGGGAAGCTCCCACTGAGTTCAGTCAGCTGCACACCCACAGATGGGAGTCAGGGAGGGATTACCAGCCTCGAGGTCTGACTAGCTGGGCACACAGGGAAGGGGAGAGAGCTTGCTTTCCTCCAGGTGCTAGCTAGCATCAGGGGTAATAAAGCAGCAGGCATTTCCACTGACTTACTTAGCTGTGGTATGCATAGAGGGAAGGCAAGAAATAT